TCTGTACGCGATTATAATAATAGTTTTAGCGACGTAACGGCATCTAGAGTGGTTTCCGACTGCGCATAACGAAATTTCTCGTTCTCTGTTATTCTTAATCGCGGCTTGAGCGCTGTGCTTCATTGTTAACATTTAGATTTAAAATTGCACCTTTAGCGTTTAAACCGCGGTTTTAAACGGCGATTAAAATTTCCACCGGCTCCGTGATTATTTTTGAACATCTACCAATTATCGTATGTAAATAATGGAAGAAATGTACGGCTTATAATCAACGATTGTGGGCCCCCCACCAACATTCTTCCAATCAATTTGCGAAACATTTGAATAAAACACTTTAACAGTTTAAAACGCGATATATATTAGTTAAACGTATTTGATAACAGTCTCCCCTTGACCACGGCTGCTACAAAGCATCCGAAACGTCGGGCCGTAGTTAAATGTTCATACGAGTTTAACTAATCGCTTTTTAAACCGTTAAAGTGGCATTTAATTGTGTACTGCTCGCGTAAACTAGAGACAGTATTTTCTGAAAAATACTGGATCTCTGGAAAATCTGGATCTTCTGGAAATATGGAATATTAAATTTTCCTATCACGTCACACCGTCCACAAATGATAAAGCTGTGTAGTTAAAGCATGCTTCGGTGTCAGTCTGTGGATTTGCGAATATCAAAAGCCGACAGCGCATCTTGTTTAGATGCTTATAGGCTGGGGAATTTCACCTACCATCGAGTGAGCTTATCCTCCTCTATATAAAAAAAAGTCTATTCGTGTCTTAAAACTGGGTTTCCTAATTCAGAACACCTAGCTTTTACTAAAAATGTTTTTAGAATAACTCCAGACACACAATTCGCCCAACCAAGGCTCGAAACCCGAGATCCTCGTGATCTGGAGGAAAATATGATTTAAATAAAACACTATTAACGGTTTGAAATACGAAATATATTTAAAAGCCAACAATTATATAAAAAAATTTTTCGGGGGGAGGTCCAGAACCCGCCGCGTCCGCGTCCCGCGCCCCAAACAACCTCGCGTTTCAAAGACCTTTCAGGAGTCGATTGTTTTTCAATTTATTTTGATTTTTAAATTTAAGTGCCTTCATGTTCAATAACATTAAAATCTAAAGTTTTCAATACGAAATATGTTCGTAAAAGTCAACTATTATATATCGCGTTTTAAACCTTTAAAGGAGTCTTATGTAAATATACTCAACTTAGTGGAACAAATAGTAAGAAATTTACTTAACCAAACGACAGTGAAATTTTAAAACAATCTAGGTTCATTATCAACGCATAATATAGAAGTAATACTAAATGTTCTTTTTGAGATACACAGAAGTCAAAGACGCAATATTATTTGCAGCAGCCATGGTCACGGGGGGAACAAAGCTGTCTTTCAATTGAAAAACAAAAAACTATAGACAGGGCCGGAATCAAACTGAAAATAGCATGTTGGTAAAGCCATGTCAGCTATTACAGAATTCATTAAAACTTTTCACATGTAAAATTTCATAGTTGTCACTTTTAAAAATTTTTTTCTTAAATTTTCGCTACAATTTTATTATATGCTTTTTATAATTTTGACTTATTCATATTTATATTAAACCAGGAGGAAGGAGAGGGTACTCTTAGCTCGCGCCAAATGCTTTCCCACATCACAAGCATTCTCCGTTGTATACAATTATTTTAATTTAAAAATTAGTAGATTACTTCAGCGGCAAGCAAGAGAGGCATTGATGAACGAACAAGTAAGTATAGCACTTGTCTCAAATAATGCGCGGAAATTAAAACTAAAAAAAAAACCAATTGACAACTTTAAAACCGATGAAGTCTTTTAAACAAATGTCTATCTGTAAACCATTTTAAAATTCAAATTAAACCTTTGACAAGTCTTACCTCTTGGTCGCCATTTTGCGGAGAAGGTCGTTCTTGGTCTAAACACGACAGATATGGATTTTCATATCATTGCCGGCCGCTGACAACAGTATAGCAAGTTCGATTTATTTAGAAAAAGTAAAAAAAAACGATTTAATATTGAAAAAATAATTTATGGGCCAGTCTTGAATGGGCATAGCATTAGCCTACCATGCTGATGCTCTAACCAATTGACCTACTGTGTAGTGTGTAAGAAAGAAGGGTTAAGCCGGAATGACTTACTTGGGTGTTCTTCACGGTTATGTTTCTCTTTGGAACACCCTGTATTCAACAGACACACGACGACAGAGGGACAGACAACCATTTTTTTCTTGCTTCACGATTCTAAATGATTTGTAAAATTTTAAAGAGAACTAAGTATATTTAACTTTGCTGTTAACTAATGATTAAATTTACATGTGCACGCGAAAAGTAATTTGACTTCAAACCTCGACCGAACCACCCCGGCGATCTCTAATTAAAAATAATTTAACGAAGTAGAAAAAAACGTCAATCGAACGACAGCATAAACGCGACCTCCCAATTAGTGGTGGCCAAAATTTAATTGGTACGATCCATTTGTTTATTCATCGGGGGCCGTCAACAGCCGTTCTCGTGATGGAGACCGAAGTTAATGGAATTTTCGTTACAATAATTGCGAGATAGATTGATTTATTAATATGCAAGGGATTTGAATCGCAGATCGTCAAGTGTTAGCTTTACTTGCGAAGAACGTATTTATGATAGATAACAGACAAATCGATGGAATACTCTCTATAGTTTACGCGAGTAGCACACACTTAAATACAACACATTAACGGTTTAAAACGCGATATATATTAGTTAAGCTTATTTGAGAATTATTTTAACTACGCGTCTCGGATGCTTTGCAGAAACGTTGATACGGCATACTAATATATATCGCGTTTAAGCCATCAAAGTGATTTATTCAAACTTGATGGAAGGTATAATACCCCAGCCATGTAACATGATTATCATTACATTTGATTCACACAAAGTTTAAATAAAACACCTTAACGGTTTAAAACACGATATATATTGGTTAAACTTATTCGAAAACCACTTTATCTAAGGCCCGTCGTTTCGGATGCTTTGCAGCAGCGTGTATCGAGTTTTAAACCGTTAAAGTGTTATATTTAAATGTGTACTACTCACGTAAATTACAGACAGTGTAGTTTACGAGTTGTTACACAAAGTAACGTTTGTACATTATGAAAATGTCAAAGGCTAAAGTTTTCGTAAAACCTTAACTCAAAGGTGTACAACTAAATAAACTGCGCAAGGGAGTTACGTTGATTCCCTTTGACTAGAGAAATCTAGTTTAAGAGAAGTCTCTTCATATATTCTGCACAGATTCTTAACACAACTGTACAAATCTATACGTACATATAAAGCTGAAGAGTTTGATTGAACGCTCTAATCTCGAGAACCACTGGTTCGAATTGTAACATCTTTTTGTGTTAGTAAGAACATTTATCGAGAAAGGATTTAAGCCATAGACAATCATGCTGCGACCATTAGCGCCGAAGAAATAATGGCAAATGGGGAAAAAACGGGGAAATCATTAATGGGTTTAAAACGATTCAGAGAACCCAAAAAAAATATATATGAAAGGATAATTCCTCTTTAAATTATCTTAAACAATGTACTTGACACTATATGCCTATCTTTTAAGGTAAACTTGCAAGAACGACGGGACGCGGGCGTTGTTGTGGGTAACAGCTTAAATAACTAATCTACACAGGACGAAGTCGCTGACACAGCTAGTTTTGTATATAAAACCGATTAAACGGTTTAAAACGGGAAATATATAAGACAACGTATTTTTAAACGATTAACTATTAGGTAGAGCCCCAGTTAGAAGATAGTGTAAATAAGTTAACTAATTTATTTCTCGTTTTAAACCGTTTGAAGTGTCCCACTCAAATGTTTGCTACTTGCTTATTTCAGACAGCACTTTATATAAATCTAGTGGCTTTTACAAAGCTCATACGCGACAAAACTTAGCTAAACTGCATTTTCAGGGCTTAAGTTGACTAATTATAATTAATTCGGGGCTCAGCGCGAAACACTAAAATTTACTCAGCTAAGATTTCAACGGTAGACTATTGATCCGTTTCAAATGTTTAATTTCGTAGACGAAAATAATGATATTACTATACACGCCTCTGCGCGGATGGGTAAGCTTAATAAAACATTTTTAACGGTTTAAAACGCAACATATATACGTTAATTTATAAAGCTGAAGAGTTTGTTCGTTTGAACGCGGGGGCAAAGACAACGGGTTCGAATGGCCTATGCTAACGCCATCTGTCTTTATTTAATAATCCTCGCATTTCTTATTAAAGATATCCTCACATAATCATATAAAATTTTACACGTTTTTAGCCATTTGCATAAGTAACTAAAATAAAACATTCGTGACGATTTTAAATGTGAAATATATTACTAATTTAATTGTGCACATATTCTCTAATGGTAAAGTGAAACTTTCGACGCCAGCGCCATCTGATTTATTCATAAACTCTCTCATTTTGGAATAATTAATCGTATGTATACTATATTTAATGATATGAAATCATTATATTACAGTAGAGTGTAATATAAGGTAGACCTTATTACTTATATTATTTATTTAAGTAGTTTTGGAGAAAAACAAGTACATACAAACGGATAAAAATATTTATTTAAAACTGTTTAATCCTTACGGGTCGTCGGATACATGTGTTCGCCCCATGTCCCACAAAGGGGAAACGGGGCAAACACACATGAATCTACGTTGCTCCATCCTTTAGAACATTTTTCTTAATATACAGATAATTATTGTGTCTATCAATGTAAACACTTATACCGGTTACAAACGAAAAATATAATCGCTAAATTATTTTTAACTACAACCCGTTTTCGAAGTCTTGCCGCATCCGTGATCGTGGAAGGGTCACGGCAAATATTTGATTTACCAAAATTTCGCCTTTTAAACCGTTCAAACTGTTTTGTAGAAATCTGTCATAATCTTGTGGTTAATGTGGTTTTTGTGGTACGATGTCCCATCCTATCGTTCACTCACCTCGGTTCCTTGCACCTTTAACTTCATGTGGTCTTCTCTGGTGGTCTTTCCGTCTTTCCGTTTCTTCCAGCAGTACCCGTCGCGCCTGTACCGGACCTTCTTGCGGCTGTACAGCAACATCGACCCGCTCTTTGGCCTGTGGACAAAAGATCGGCGTGTGAAAATAAGGTCGTAAGTTGTAAGCTATCTAATATTATAAAGCTGAAGAGTTTATTCATTTAAACGCGCTAATCTCAAGCAACTACTGACTTCAATCGAAAAGATTTAGAATTTTTTGACTTAAGTTTGTTGCCTGGAAGAAATCGCTTTTTAGCGATACGGACGTTTTTTGGATTCTCTTCAAATTAAATCTTATTTGTAACATTGTGATGACAATAAAGTATTTTCTAGTTTAAATGAAACACTTTAACGGTTTAAAACGCGATATATTTAAGTTACAACTTGTTTGAATGATTTTACTACGGCCTGACGTTTCGGATGCTTTGCAGCAGTCGTGGTCACGGGGAGACTCCTCTCCCGTCACCCCCGTAGTATAAGTAGGTAAGTCTCCCAGTTAAAAATAATTTTCAAACAAATGTTAATAAAATATATTGCGTTTTAAACCGTTAAAGTTTTTATTTATATATTGTTCTAATTAATTAATTTTGATTCAAGTTTAAAATTTGTGCTTCTAAATTCTATTCGTCCTTCTTGCATTTCTATTCTTTTCTATACTAAAGTCAACATCTTCAGAGTCAAGAATTTACACATCTGTATATTTTTGATCGGTCTCGGAATTTTCTTCTCTTCTTTTTCTTTTCTTCATCATCTTCTTGAAGAGAAATGTCACTTCGGCTGCGCTTATTAATAATCCCGTACCTTAGACGTAAAGACCTTTGTAGCCAAATAGTTAAGCGTATTGCCTACTTGCGTTGAGCGCGAGAAGACCTGGGTTCGAATCCCAGGGAAACAAACAAAAAATTGTTTCGATCGGGCAGGGCACAGAAGTCGCGTCAACTACTTGTCCGTTAAAAGAACGGAGCAGTCAAACGGACACCGCAATGTGTTCGCCCCATGCCCCATGTGCCCCACGTGAGAGAAACGGGCTTAAACAATCGAAAATTACAGATGAAAGCTATCAATCTATGTTTTGATTTGGCGCTGTTACAAATACGCGAGATGGTAGACTTTTCTAGCGCAATCGCTGCCAACTCTATACGATAGCCCATCCAGCCGTGTTGGGATTTGTTACCGAAATGTTTTAAATCCGATTAGAACATTTATTCAGGTATAACCTGATTAAATGTGGTTGATTGTGATATTTGATGAAATAATGCCAAGTGTCTGTAGTTTACGCAAATAGTACACATTTTGGTCTAATGGTGGCAAAGTTAATGAATTTGTATTTTTTTCTGAAACATCCTGGACTTCTTCTGGAAATCTGGATATTCAATAGGCGGTAGGAATAACTCAATTTCGTGCGGGTCACGAACCATAAATCGCGATTCCGTCAGTCTGTGGATTTCCGAATATCCAAATCCAAAATAGGTCGAGAGCGCATCTTGTTTAGATGCTATATTATTTCGTACTACTCTTCAATTATAATTTCCAATCTATTTTTCAATTTTTAAATCACTAAAAAATAAATTAAACAGTTAAAACGCGATATATATTATCGTTAAACTTATATGAAAAAAATATTTAAAGTTCTCATGCTTTGCAGCAGCCGTGGTCACGGGGAGACTGCTGCAAAGCATCCGAAGCATCGGGCCGTACTTAAATATTATTTTCAAATAAGTTTAACTAATATTCATCGCGTTTGAAACAGTTAAAGTGTTTTATTTAAATACATATAACCTACTTTTGAAAAGTGGAAAATGGTAAAGTGTGTTTCATCCATTAATAGAGAACGCGGTAGCCCTCTGGGACTAGGTCGTGGTCGTTGGGGGGCGATACAAGGCCGGGATGATATGTATCCCCTGCTAGTGCCAGTACAAGAAAAGAACAGTAGGGCCGTAGGTATTAAAGTATATATTTGTAAATTATATTCTGTAGATGGATTGGAACAATTTTTTTATGCAGCTTGACTTGACTTTTTTTAAATACTGTACAGTTTACGCGAGTAGTACACATTTAAATAAAACACTTTAACGGTTTAAAACGCGATATATTAGTTAAACTCATTTGAAAATGATTTTTAACTTCGGCCCGACGTTTCGACAATTTTCAAATAAGCTCAACTAATATATCGCGTTTTAAACCGTTAAAGTGTTTTATTTGTCTTCTTTTCTTTATAATTTACTATGTTTTTTTTACAATAAAGATTTTTTTTATTTTCACTTGCGTGTGGCACCGCTGTCCACACGCCAAACTTACTGAAAACCGGTTTCAGGTCAAGGGCCTGAAATATGCTGCGTAAGATCCTATTCCACTAGCAGAACACAACATTATTTTATACTGTTAATATTAAGTTACACTGTTCGTATTGAATTGTATTTAGTAATAAATCTTATATATATTTTTGTGTGGATTATAGTTGTAGTAATTACTTTCTCTCTACTTTACTCGTTTTAAAATTTCGTACCTGAAGCTAAGGATTGTCTTCTTAACTTCCCATAAGTTAACCGAGATATTTCGCGTTTTACTAGTGTAAACTACAGACAATCCTTATACGCATTAATTTATAACACAAGGTAAAACCCGTCAAATCTCGAACTACCCTCCTATATCAGAAAATCCCTAAAATAATTAATACGTTATAACCTAACAGCCAGTTAAGTTAGCTAGTATAAAACCATCTACACAACCGATATACCGCTAAAATATTCCCCCCCATTTAGCAAATAGCCTCCTATGACCATCGCTAGTGCATTATGCGACGCGTGTACCGGGCTTACTCCTAAAATAATTCGATTAGCGGCTTGTGAGCCAAATACTAATCATATTTCTGTAAACGGGGCTTGCCAAAACCCCACCAGGGCGATGGTGTTGAAAAGTGAACTCTATTGTACGAAACTCAAAGTCTATTTTACCGTTACGGCGTTATCGCTAATAAAATAACGTTTAACGATTCTTGTGGGCGTCCTATCGAGCAATAGATGAGGGTAGTTTCTTTGAGTGTATGGGATAATTATTTAATATTAAGTGGGAATTAAGTTACGGAACAAGAAAGGTTTTTAAATCTTAATTTACGATGGAACATACAATTACGAATCAAACGGAATTAAATTTCATGTTTAAACAAATTTAATTTAATTAAAACATTTTAACGGTTTGAAACGCGTAAAAGTGTTTTATTTGAAAGATGTTAGCTCCTCGATAGCTTGATGAATTGTGATGGCGAAACATCAAGAACCTCTTCTTGCTCGCGTCGGCCAAACAGCCGGAAAATCTATATATCTCGATATATCTTTGTACGTTCTTTGGTGGATTAAATTATTTGAATTTGCTAGTGATGTATTGTTTTTCGATCGAAACTAGTGATGCGCCGAAGTGATACCGTCGAATCGATCAGTCATCCGTACTTCACGCGCCATAGAGCGTCCACAACGCAATATTTCCCTCCACGTCGTTATATCTGAATGGCTTGGATGCATGGCTTTTCGCCGACTAATAAATCGCGTATTGAACGAATAAATCAAGCCGATGTTAGCTTTTTTACGACGCCTCAATGGGCGTTTGTTCGGTTTAATTACATTCTTGTTGACATTCGCTATGTTCAATGACGCAGTCGACGGACGACACGAGATTTGAACGGTTTAAAACGTGAAATATATTCAATTGTGTAAGGCTTTCACGCTCATCGTACAGCATATCATTGTTTTTCGGGCTGTTCGGCCGACGTGAGCGAGAGGTTCTTGACGTTTCGCCATCGCGTGCGGACGGCATCATCAGGAGATTGTAACTCCTCGATTGCTCGAAGAATCTCCACGTCGGCCGTACAGCCCGAAAAACAATGATATGCGCATTATATTAGTTAATTCAATTTAAATGAATATTCGAATGTGGGAGCAGCTATCGTGGTCACTGAATGTGATAAAAAATCTTTAAATATTTTTTTGCAAATGTAAGAAGAACAGAGAAACTTGGGCTTACTTGATGGTAGGTGCCATACCCCAGCCATCTAAACGAGAAGCGCCGTCGTTGCGTTGGATATCTATTCGTAAACACACACACTAAAACCTAATAGTGGAGGTGTCTTAATTCTAATATAATTTAAATACTGTCTATAGTTTACGCGAGTAGTACACATTTAAATTAAACACTTTAACGGTTTAAAACGCGATATATTAGTTAAACTTATTTGAAAATATGTTTTTTAATATCGGGCCGAAGTTAAAAATCATTTTCAAACAAGTTTAACTAACATATCGCTTTTTAAACCGTTAAAGTGTTTTATTTAAATAATAAATTTAATTACGCTTCGGTTTCAGTTTACGGATTTCCAGATATCCAAAGCCAAAATAGGTCGACATCACATCAAATGTTATGGCGTATTACATCTTCCATCAGAATAACCCCGTGCTTCTCTGTTATCTTCACCCAATCCCCGCTTCCTCAGACGGTGTTACACCAGCAGTCCAGTCCACTAACTCAATAGCGATAGTCGTTCGTAGATAAGTTACTTTGGGCACCAAAATTTGTTTTGAAAAACCTCCTTCTCATCTCTTTAAATTACTTCTTTAATTGCTCTACGAATAATAGAAGCTAAGGGATAGCGGGAAATGTTGAAAAAAAATATTCATCTGTGTGGGTATCCGTTACGTACGCTGCAAAAACGGTTCAAGATACCTGCAATAAAAACATGTAAGAAAGAATCATTCCTTTAAAAATCAAAAATAAATATAAAAAAAAATTTCCAAGTCAGGACTCGGTAGCTCAATTGGTAGAGCGACGGCACGGAACGCTGACGATGCCGTTTCAAGGTCTGCCCGTGCCGAAAATTTTTTCAATTTATTTTCGATTTTTAAATTATATAGTGCCTTCATGTTTTCAAAATAATGATTCCACTTTAAAGAAACCTATGAAAATGTCTACGACAGTATCTTTTAAGAACGACGGGACGTGGACGATGATGTTTAAATTTTTAGAGTTTGCATACACAAATTCGGATGCCCAAGATAATTGGTTCTACGCGGACGAAGTCTCTGACACAGC